TTCCGTCATAAGGTATGATTTTGTAAAAAAAAATTGATTAAGGTATGATTTTACAAAAAAAAAAAAAAAATTATAAGGAGGTTTTTGACAAAAAAAAAAAAAAATGTTTTTAAAAGGAGGTTTTTGACAAAATTTCCTATTTTATATAACATTTCTCACTGGTCTACCACTTAGAAGTACCACAATTTTTCCTAAAATTAATATTCTGTAATATGTAATTTTAAGATGCATGTGGCATGACAGTGTCCATGATAATGGTTACTCTTGATTCTCTTCTTTATTTATAATAATAATTATACAATATGACCACTTTAATCAAATTAATAATAGATGGGTAATATAAAGTTTTGGAAAAAAAAAATATAGGTTGTTAAAGTTATTGTAGATATACCAATATGCCAGTAATAGCCATATATGAACTGCAGCCATCCAACAAGTGATGCTCCTGGTTAAACAGCAACAATATCACAATTGTTGATCATAATCACAAACCACTATGAAAAATGCTGTGATAAGAAGGAAGTAACGAAATCGAATCACAAAACCTCAAGAACAAATGCAAGGCCTGCTAGAATAAGCCTAAGCAGAGCCCAGGAACCGAAACCTGCAACATATATATTTCATGATCAAAAGTTTACGATTCTATATAATATGATCAACGACACATATATATCATCACAATCAAACTTGGCTAGTATGTTTCATTGTTCTAACCAAAAGAAGGAAGCGCCTCCCAAATTTATCCATCAAAAGTACACCCAAACCCACACTTGGAAGCTGCAAACAGAAAGATAAATGTATACACATACTGTGAGTAATGGATGGAAGTAATTCAGGAGATCGGATTTGTTCTCATGTCCTAAAGAGTAGGTAAGTGGATGAACATTCGAGTACCTGAACTAAGGCTAGTGCTATTGTTCCCACTGTTGTTGAAAATCCTGTGCAGCAGTAACAGAACAACAATCAGATGTTTGTTCGAGACATATAGATGATTTTGTTCGTTCATATAGATATGGTGTCATGTAAATTCTGGTAACTAACCAGCTGATTCGAATATAGAACTGGCATAGAATAAGATTCCATTCAGTCCAACAAGGTGGCGAAGTGCTTCAAGGCCAATTCCCACCTATAACTTTTCCACAATGTCAGCTAATGACGGCTGAGCAATTCAGCATTATGTATGTTCTCTAGGTCCATAGTTATTAGACACCACACAATATTTCTCAAGTATGTTGAGAGGGTCACCTTTTTCGATGTATTAGACAATTAGTAATGGTTCATGACTGAATTTTCTAACATGTCGTTAAATAGTTATCTGATTGATATGTAGTGAATAGAAATTACACAAATAGGTGATTTGAAAAGTAGTGTCTGTCATATTTTGGTAGCTTAGCACAGTGTAAAAACATTCGGATGCTAGAAATACAAGATACACTAGTCGTTGCTGTTAAAAAATTTTCAATCTTACCGTGAATGTGTAAGCATATTTCTTCTGAAATAGTTGTAGGAAACTAACTTTTTCAATTTGATGAAGGGCTTCAATACTTTCCTACACAATAACTCGAAATAATGCATTTCATTAGAATTCATACACTAATTTTTCTGAGGGATGTCAGTTTTCGAATTTTAAAAAGCAGAGATTGTGTTACCCTTAAGTCAACTGCTTCATCCACGACATAACCTCCTCTAAGGCGCTGTAAAACTGTTTCGAATTCATTGTTTTTACCCTTCATCAACTGCAAAAAATACAATTACTCTGTCATCTGAAAACTGACTAATTTATAGCAGGAACTTGGTTTGTAAATGCATTACCAGCCACCTAGGAGACTCTTGAATGAAGAATAGACCGACTATCTGTACAAGACTTGGAATAGTTCCTGAAACATTGATAAATTGGCATCAAAGAACTTCCAAAGATTATTCCAAGAACTGAAATGAGATGCATCAAGAAACACTACATCAATTACCAATGAGAGCTAAAGTACGCCAAGAGGTGATTAGTCCAATGAGAAAAACTGCTGATGCCCCGACTACTATCATTAACTAAATCAGGATGATAAGAGTATAAGACAAGGTTATATAATCTAAGCATATCAAACTATTGATAACTGTAAGTGTAAGCTAGAACTGTATTGGTTTTATTCGAGTATAGATCAGTTACCGCGTGGAGGATTACAAACCCTCCTCGAAGATTTTTGGGTGCAAATTCAGATATATATACCGGAATCTGAGACAGGTGACAGCAATATAGTCAATATATCACTAAGTTTAACAAGTTTGATAGATGCTATGAATTGCAGGATTTTATGCTTACAACATAGTTTGCAATGATCAAAGCAAAACCCAGGAACCATCGACCCAAGTTGAGTAACCAAGCACTCTATGATCAGGAAATCAAACAATTAAATTCACAACTAAAATCAGAAAGAAATTTGATGGAAATCTAAGTGAAGTAGATATTGCCAAATAATGGAAGAACCTGTCCTGTTGCAATGGATAACCAACCAATAATACAAAGTAAGACAGTTAGTCTTAGGACCTGCCTCATCAAATGCACAAAAAAAAAAAAAAAAAAAAAAAAAGTGGAAGTTAGTCTGAAATGATAGAATATGTAAATTGATCCTAGCTTCAATCATTAGCTTAAGCTAATATCAAGAGTTAGCGTGACACAAAGCCAGATTCAAATCGATCTTGGGCTTCAAACGTCAGCTTAAACTCTTAATTAAGTTGTCTTTAACACAAAGTAGAATTAATCCTATGATTAATGAGACCTACAAGGCTAATAAGATTAAACTTACATGTTTTCGACCTAAGTAGTCGGCTAACCTACCACATACTATAGCCCCGAATACCCCTCCCATATTAATCATGGATCCAAAGAGTGAAAACTGCAGAAAAACAAACAGTTTATAAATATTGTACATTTGTACGTTTTCGAACCCAAGAATGATCAAGTGGGTAATGAAAGGATGAAGAAGTGCATACATCTGCTGTTGAAAGGTCAAGTTCCTTCATGATTTGAGCTTGCACTGGTGATGTATATGCCATCTGTATGTATTAATAATTTAATATATACGAGTAAATACATACTAAATTTAGGTACTAGAACATACGGAGTATCAATTATATACTTTACTAATAGCATGAATGTTTGAAAGGAATGATGATCATAAAAGGAAGAAGTCAGCTTAAAAGTTAAAGGACTAATACTCTATAATACTTAGGGAGCGTTTGGTTGGGGTTAATCATCAAAGAAAATGGGAATCAACTGTCCCCATTCCCTTTGTTGTTGCTTGTTAGTCCATTTTCCCATTCCCTTAACCCTCTTCATTCCTCCAAATCCCTCTAACTTCATTTTCCACCCCCTAGACTTTCCCATTCCCTACCCACCTTCACATCACCACATCACCACCTTCACACCTATCAACACCACCAGAAAACTAGCTCAGACCACCGCCGCCCCTCCCCTGTGCCTCGCCGCCCTCCCCTCCCCCACAAAAACATCCCACAGCCCCCGCAAAACCCTAGAAACCCCTCCCTATCCCCGTTAAACCGCTGCCCAGCCCTTCCACCACCCTCAAAACCCTAGCCGCTAGGGTTTCGAGGGTGGTGAGAGGGTCAGGCGACGGTTTTCGGGTTCGAGGGAGATCGGGGCTAGGGGTGGTTTTTTCGGGGGAGGGGAGGTCGAGGCAGGCGCGGCTAGCGGCGGCGAGGGGCAGGAGAGGCGCTGCGAAGGGCGGGGAGTTGTGGAGGATCGGAGGTGCGGCGAGTGGTGGCTGGGTGGTGGCTGGGTGGTGGCTGAAAATGGTGGAAAGTAAAGCAATGTGGTGGTGGTGTGATGGTTGGATTAGTGGCCTTCCATTCCTTTATTATTCAAAACAAACAACACTTCAAAATTGGGGGATTTTCATTCCATTCCTTGTCTTTTCCTTTGTTCATTCCCTTCCGATTCCCCCGTGCGAACCAAACGACCCCTTAGTATAATTTTTATTTTGAAGCAATATGGAATATGAAATTGTACATGTAAAAAATGTAATTCATCCATTTTATAATTTATAAGATGGATAAAAAGACGCCAATCAAGTGATATACAAAATGTTAGATTATCCTATAATTTATAAATACATACAAAATTTGTTGCCCACTAACACATCTAATCAAGTTAGTTGCATGTTGACTTTTTAAATTTTTTTCGTGTCTATTCTTACCTCAAACAAATAGATTATGCAAATTAGTTGTTATACAGATGAAATCTCTTTTATACATTCATTGATTAGAGGTCTAATTAATTGGGAAAAATCGATACAATTATACTCCCTACGTCCTTAAATTACATTCCTCTTTCTCTCTATTATATGAGGAATAAATGATAAAAAGAGGAATGTAATTTAGGGACGGAGGGAGTACTTTTTATCTCCATTAATTAAGGTTTGTCGTCAATCATTTGAGTTGCAAATTGGAGAATATATTCATTATTATGCTTGAAAAATGGGATTTGAAAATGCTCATGTGTTAGTGTTTGACTGCATTGGTTGAATTTTATGGAAACTTGGTAAGGTTTTTGAAACACGGAAGGTGTTCAATGAAATGCTTGAAAGAGATACTTTTGATTGGAGTACTATTGTCTCTGGCAATGCTTGAGGAGGGGATATGGCTTCTGCGAGGTGCATGATGGATACGCGAGGCTAGGGGATTTTGAGGGTTCAGACTGCGGGGTAGGCGGTGGTCACGGTGGGTTGGCCATGGAAGAAGATGGTGAGGTGGGAAGAGAGAATAAAGAATTTAATTATTAGAAGAAAAAAAAAAAAATACCGGTTCAACAGGTTTTAGGTAAAAAAGTCTATTTTGTGAATATAGAGGTTAAAGGTGAAATTGTTTCAAGATTTCGAAAATGTGAAAGTGTTTTGAGTAAAAATGACAAAGGTGGGATTATTAGTTTTTATTTTTTCTTTATTTTTTCTCCTATTGGTTACAAATTTCAACAATGATATAGGTCTACATTCACCATAGTCAACTCCTTTAACATAAGTTTAAATTACACCATTGACGTGACAATCTAATATACAACTAAATTAACAAACTAGCTTGAGTTGGAGATTATAAATCATCCAAGATGAAAAAAGAAAAAAAAAATCTTACAATATAGCCACAGGAAAAAGAACCCAAGACAGCAATGAACGCCGAGAGAAGCAACGTAGGAGTGATGGACGGCGACGACGTGTCCCTTGCAGCAGCTGGACATGGCTTCCCTCGATCAATTTCATCTAGTGTCTGCTGGTGATTGTTGTTAAGGAGTTGGACTCTTAATTAGTTCTTCCTTCATTGTTGACACTTTTGCCTTAGTTTTTTTTTTTCCTCAAACTGTAGGATATTAAATGAAAGCTAATTGAAAGGACGTGGGGTGAGAACGTGATTTGTTTAGAAAGACTTTAAATAATCAATCGTGTTTAATTAAGATAATATTTAATGGGTTTACAAATTCTAATTCTTTAGACCAAGTATAAACAAGGATCGGAGTTAATAAACTACTTTATCTTATAAAACTCCTTCCATGATTCCATCATTGCCAAACATTACTTGTTGAAGCATGAATTTCTTCAAGTGTTCTTCCTTTTGTCTCTGGGACCAATTTCGCCACGAAAACTATTGTAAATGCACTGATACCCGCCATTATGAAAAAAGTTCCTGGAATCGAAATGCAGTTGATTCATTTGTGTCAAAATAAAAATATTCATTCGAAAGCTAAAACACGAAAAGTAAGCAGAATTAAAAGCAGCTTTACCTGAAGAACTCCATTCCATAAGAAAGTTAAAAGTGTAAGAAACAATCCATCCTGCTAAACATAATACTACGGAACAAATACTTCCTGCTAATCCTTTTATGTTTAACGGGTATATCTGAAAGAACAAAGTTAATTAATCCATTAATCTTTCAGCTAATCATTAAGACGAATTGCACGCATTATTATACTGAAGTGAGCATACCTCTGAGAGTATAACAGAAGCGGCACCACCCATGCCTACTGGATATGAAGCAATATAAAACTGCACTCAAAGAACATATATGATTAAAGCTTATATAATAAAGTAATGTAAAGAATTTGAATTGTGTATTATTTTAGGTGTTGAATTGTTGCAATTCAAATAATTAAACAGGTTGTTATGTTATTATATAAGTTATAATGTACTCGTATGTATAATAGTTTAGTCTAAATTCAAAGCTTTGGGGATGAATGAAGTACCAATAGGCCAGTAAGAGCCATGTATGAACTGCAGCCATCCAGCAAGCGATGCTCCTGATTAAACAACATCACTTTATCATTTTTGTAAAGCAAAACGACAAACCCCTACGAAAAATGTGGTTATAAGAATAAAATAACGAAATCAAACCACCAAACCTGAAATACAAATGAAAGGCCTGCTAGAAAGCAACCTAAGCAGAGCCCAGGAACCGAAATCTGCAACATATTTCATGATCAAAGTTTACGATTCTATATAACATGATCAACATATATATATTATCACAACCAAACTTTATTTGTTCATTGTACTAACCATTAGAAGGGGGCGCCTTCCATATTTATCCATCAAAAGTACACCTAAACCCACACTTGGAAGCTGCAAACCAGAAGTTATAAAAAAATATATTCAAAAACTGTGAGTAACGAATGAAATTCATTAGGGAGATCGGATTCATTCTCAACTCTATATACAATTTAGAAGTAAAAGGCTTGCTTTGATCGTTAATGTGGGTAAAAGGCTTCAAGTACCTGAATTAAGGCTAGTGCTATGGTTCCCACTGTTGCTGAAAAACCTGTGCAGTATTTAAAGAGCCATCATCAGATTCAGATATATTTGTCTGAGACATAGAAGATTTAGCTCGTTCATACAGACATGGTGTCATATAAAAGCTAATAGCTGACCAGCTGATTTGAATATAGAACTGGCATAGAATAAGATTCCATTCAGACCAACAAGGCATTGAAGTGCTGCAAGGCCAATTCCGACCTGCATCACTTCCACATCATCCAAAATCAGCTTATGACTGCTTTTTTTTGCAACTCAGCATAATATATTCGAAGTATCATCTAGGTCCGTTATTATTAGACAAATATACAATTACTTCTTAAAGATGTCTAGAAAAAGTGTTACATTTTCACTTGCAATAATGAATTATGATTCGATTTTCTAGAATGTCGTTATCTAAATAGTTAAATTGATTGCTGCTATGGAGTGAATAGAGAGTACACAAATAGGTAAATTGAAATATAGTGCCATATCTTGGCACAATGTAACAACATTTGGACTCGGGAAATACAAGAAACTAGGATTAGCTGTTAAAAATTTTATTTCAAGCTTACCGTGAGTGTGTAAGCATATTTCTTCTGAAAAAGTTGTAGGAATCTAACTTTTTCCACTTGATGAAGGGCTTCAATACTCTCCTTCACACCAAATCAAAAATAGCATTACATTAGATTTCATACACTAAGTTTTTCTTTTCCGAGGGATGTCAATCATTGAACTATAGAATGCAGGGGATTGCACTTTACCCTTAAGTCAGCTGCTTCGTTCACAACAGAACCTCCTCTAAGTTGCTGTAAGGCTGTTTCAAATGCATTGGTTTTACTCTTCATCAACTGCAAAGCAAATACTAACTCTGTCATTTGAGAACTGATTAATTACTAGCAAGAACTTGGTTTGTAAATGCATTACCAGCCACCTAGGAGATTCTGGAATGAAGAATAGACCAACTATCTGTACAAGACTCGAAGTAGTTCCTGAAACATTGGTAATACGGCATCAGAGAACTTCTGAAGACTCCAAGAACTGAAATGAGATACATCAACAAACACTGCATCAATTACCAATGAGAGCTAAAGTACGCCAAGTGGTGACTAGTCCAATGAGAAAAACTGATGATGATCCAACTGCTGTCATTAACTAAATCAGGATAATAAGAGAAGGTTAAAAAATCCAAGCAGAAGTAAACAAGAATTGTACTGATTTTTATTAGAGTATAGCTCAGTTACCGCATGGAGGCTAACAAACCCTCCTCGAAGATTTTTTGGTGCAAATTCAGCTATATATACCGGAACCTGAGACAGGCAACAGAGTTTTAGGCCATATGTTATTAAGTTCATAAGTTGATGCTCAAAGTTAAGATGAAAAGCAGGATTATGTGCTTACAACATAGTTTCCAATTATCATTGAAAAACCCAGCAGCCAACGACCCAAGTCGAGCAACCAAGCTCTCTTTGATCAGAATCAAACAATCAAACTAATTACAACTTAATCAGAAATTTGATGTAGATCATAGTGAAAGAGGAAATGCCAAATGGAAGAACCTGGCCTGTTGCTATAGATAACCATCCGAAGATATAAATTAAGACAGTTAGTCTTAGGGCCTGCCTCATAGAATGCAAAAAAAAAAAAAAAAAAAAAAAAAAAAAAAAAGAAAAAAAAAAAGTGGAAGTTAGAAACAGGATTAATTTTAATCTAAAGTTGATATCAACCATACAAAATTTAAGACTAATACGATTTAACTTACATGTTTTCGACCTAAATAGTCTGCTAACCTACCACATACTATAGCACCAAATATTCCTCCAAAACTAAGCATTGATCCAAAGAGTGAATACTGCACAAAAACTTTTAGTATATTGTTACAGAAAACAGAAATGTTGTAGCAGAATAGTGTACGTTGTTGAAGTCAATAATGATCAACTGGGTAATTAAGGCCCCGTTTGGTTTGATGTAAAACATTTAAGTGAAAAATTAGTTTTCATGGAAAACATATTTTCAAGGAAAACCACAACTGTAAATTAGTTTTCCTCTGTTTGGTTGCATATAAGAAAAGTTCAAGAAAAATAAAAAATAGGAATGTGAGGATGGATTGAATGAGAAGGAAATAAAAAAGGAGGTAAGGAGGAAAATAGGGTTTTTCCCCCTTGTTTTGTAAAGAAAAATGTTTTGCATCGTTAAAGATGTAATTTTTCACCACTGGGAAAATTGTTTTCCAACATTTTACATCAAACCAAATGGTGCCTAGAGGACGAAGAAGTGCATACATCTGCTGTTGAAAGGTCAAGTTCTTTCATGATTTGAGCTTGCGTTGGTGATGAATATCCCACCTGCATTATGCTATAAGGTCAAGTTTCTTCATGATGTAATTTAGCTTAATATTTTTCTACTTTAAGCTTTTTATGTGGCAGTCAGTGGCGAATCTAGGATTTTCGAACTTGAGTCACCATCAATATTGATCACTTGTTTCAATCTAAAAATTATATAAAAAATTTATATTTCACCAAAATGATTTCAATCCAAAAATAGGACATAAAAATACATACTATAAAACTATTACATTAAACTAACTTTATGATTTTTTACTTAGAAACAAGAATTAATTAAAAAAAAGTGAGATTACTTAAGAGACCGTTATTAAATATAACAGGTCTCTTTAATGAAATATGAAAGAAAAAAGAGACCTGTTAACTAGATAACAGGTCTCTAATGACATGGTGGCAAAGCAGAAACAAAGAGACCATCTATCTGATATTTTTTAATAGGCGGTCTCTTTGATATTTAAAAAAAATGACAATGATCATCTCAAATAGAAGCAACAAAGAGACCGCCTATCTATAATAGGCGATCTCTTAGTTTTTTTTTATTTTTTGAGTCACACTCCCTGTGCACCTTAATAGATCCGCCCCTAGTGGCAGTGTGCCACCCTAAAGGTTGTATTCTTTGAGAGCCTATTATGTACACCCGGGGTCATTTGCTCCTAAACTACTCCTATCAAGCCTTGATTGGTAACAAGTTGTTAGTTGCTACTCCTCTGTCTTTTTTTGTTCTAGTGGTTTTGAATGTACATGTTTACCAATAATAATCAATACACATGTTAGATTATTATTATTATCTCTAATTATATATGAATATTATTAAAAAAAAATCTTGTAACATTTGTTGAGACAAATTAAACAAGACGCTACTAAAAAATTATAAACAATAGTAACAAAAGAAATCAAAGGGAGTGCTACTAAAAAAAAAAAAAAAAAAAAAAAAAAAAAAAAATTCAAAGGGAGTAGTTGTTATCTACTTGATTGTAATAATAGTTGGTTTGACTAGCTATTCGTATTAATCATTTAAATAAAAATGATTGGTGATTAGGGGATTTTTATCCACCAATCACCGTCTGACAAGTGGACCAACCAGGTTCCGCCACGGGTCCTTCACGAAGGCCAATAGGAGCCCGCCACGTGTCAATCACAGATACGTCCTCTACGGACCAATCAAAGCACGCCACGTGTCCACCCATGCCAAATGGGAAAACCGGCCATCAAGGCCCAATCCAGTCTAGAGGCCCGATCAGCCCTAGGTTTACCTTAAACCTAGAGAGTGGCACGCTTCTCAAGGCTATAAATACTTAATTAATCCTCATTAGTTAGGCAATCGAAAAATCAAGAAATCAAGCAGAGAAGAACAGAAATATTACGGAACACCAACAACCGGCTAATCTCGCTAACGACGCAGATTACCAACATTAAGCACTCTCACCTAGAGAGATCTTAGTACTTTAATTTCCGTATTAATAACTCCTTAATCAGGTACTAACTTGACCGTTGGAGGCGGAGCTCTCAGGAGTCTCCGTTATTTTGCAGGTACAGGCGTCCGGTTCCAGTCTCGGAATTGTAACTCTCCCGCAGGACATCAGAAAACCCCGAAACATTTGGCGCCGTCTGTGGGGAGAGTACTTCAGAGATGGCATCCAAGTCTGTATCGACTCCTGAAGAGAGGCGTCCCCTAGACGATCCTCAAGTTCAGTCGGACCATGATACCGAAAGTGAATTTGAAGTTGAAACTCATACAGCTCCAGACGGGACCCTAAGGGTCCGACGTACCCGTCATACCGAAAGGAGGGAACGGGAGCATCTTCAAACAGGAAGCGAGCCAGCAGGCGCACCGCCTGCTCGGCAACAGCCGACTGATGGGTCTGCTCCCATCACAAGGAACGAACTCATGACCTTCATGAGGGACTTCAAGGGAGAGATTCAAGAGTTGATCAACAAAAAACCGCCTGCTTCAGTCAAAGAGCAGTCGGCCAAGAAACCTTCCACTTCACTGAAGAGGAAGCCAGTTCAAGGGCGAGAGGCGACTCCTCATCCTAAATCCAAGAAGCGGGAGCCACCTGCTCTTGATTTCACAAAACTCCGTTATCCTACGGGAAATAGGAAACCGGTTCGTCATATTCAGGCGGACGGGTCAAAGAAAACGTTCACAGATGCTCGGCTCCTGCTAGAGCAGAAGAAGAGTGACCGATTATCAGAGTCGGCTTCTACTTCAAATTTTCAAGACAGTTTGCGAAATGCCTCGATGAGGCATACTCAGTCGTACCATGAGAGTCAGTCAGGCGGCACCTCCCGTCAGTCCGGCTTTCATAGTGCCCAGGCGGTACCAAACTTACCATTTGTGCCGCAACAACAGTATTTTATGCAGCCACCTCCATTTGGTGGACCTGCAGCAAAAAACGTCCAACCTATGGACTGGCAGCTACGGCTGCTTAGACTTGGTGAACAGCCGTCGGCCTTCTCCAAGGAAATTACTGAAGCCGCTCAGCCGGCCAAAGTAAAAAATGTTCTAGTAGGCGCCTATGACGGCACTACTAACCCAGAAGACCATCTGATGGCATTCACCAACCTGATGTACCTTCAAGGGTTGGATGATCCCACTTGGTGCAAGTGTTTCCCAGCGACTCTCAAGGGAATTGCACAGCAATGGTTCGGCAACCTGCCGACTGGTTGTGTAAACAGCTTCAGGACGCTTGCTTACTTATTTGCCTCCAACTTCGCTATGAACATCCCTGCGAAGAAAACGACCCTTGATTTGGGAACAATTCAGCAGGGCGAGAAGGAGGGGCTTCGTTCTTACATCAGGCGGTTCAACCTGATGAGAATACAGATTCAAGGGTTACCGGATGAGGTAGCTTATACTGACTTTTTTAGAGGTCTCAAAGACGGGTCTACCTTCAAATTTGATTTAGTTCGAAAAAGGGTGGCGACTCTTCAAGAGGCCTTGATTGAAGCAGAAGCCTATATACAGGCGACTGATCTGTGTACGATAAAACAGTCGGACGGGAAAAAGTTCGACAAAAGAGAGGGACGACAGAAACAGTCGTCCAACAAAGATGAGAAAAGAAAAGAGGTCTGGGCGGCTGATTCCTCTAAACAGCCGGCCCAGAAAAAGAAAAAAGAATTCAAACCATACTCCCCAAAGTATGTGTTTAACAAGGATAACCAGTTTATCCTAAAAGAAATAAAGGGACGGTTCTCAATTGAGAAGCCGCTCCCCATGAAGGGTTCTGCAAACAACCGGAACCAAGATAAAATTTGTGCTTATCATGATGACGTTGGTCATCACACCAATGACTGCATCAGTCTCATGCGGTACCTAGACCGCTTGGCTGAGCAAGGTGATCTTGACACTTATGTCAAGAAATCTACGGGGAACACTTCCTCAAAAAAGCAGTCGGCCAAAAAGAATCAACAGGCCGACAGTTCTGATACAGATGATGCAGTCGTCTACACCATTGCAGGCGGCTTCTCAGGAGGCGGCCCCACTATTAGGGGCAACAAAGATAATATAAGGCGGTTAGATGTAAATTCCGTTCACCAAGAACGGCCGTCCAAATATATATTTCCTGAGATTGTCATCACTGAAGAGGATCTAGGAGGGGTAAGGGGGCCGCATGACGACCCTCTCGTTATTGAATGTAAAGTGGCCAACCAGAGAGTTGGCCGAATCCTCATAGATACCGGGAGCTCCTCAGATCTCATCAGCAGCAAATGTCTGTCAAAACTGAAATATCAGACGGACTGCATACATCCGGCCTCCCACCCTTTAATAGGGTTTGGAGGAGGAGTCGTCCACCCACTGGGACGAGTAGATTTACCCATTCGCCTGGGCGAAAAAGGGGAAGGACGACACATGGTAGTCCGGTTCCTAGTAGTAGAGGAACTCTCGGCCTACAACATGATTCTGGGTCGACCAACCCTGAATAATTCCAAGGCTGTTATAATCCCGTCTCTTATGCTGCTTAAGTTTGAAAGGGATAATGGAACAGTCGGCTCCCTAAGGGGAGATCAGAGGATGGCCCGAGAGTGCTATCTCTCGGATGTCAAGCCCACTGTTGTGGCCACTGGGTCAAGTGGAGAAAAAACAGACCTTGACAATGTCAAGGAGAGTGCGCCTGTTCAAGAAGCAGGCGGCAAAAAGAGAAAGGCGTCCCAGACAGAGTCCGCGAAAAAAGCGAGAAAATAGCAATCATTGGCAGAGGAGCGGCCGGATGAGCTCCGCCCTCAGCCGACTGGTGAGCATGCGGACCTGATATTAGACGACTCACGTCCTGACCGAACAGTCAAAGTTGGGACGACTGCTCTGAGAAACCTTGGTGACGACTTTCACAACCTGTTGAAAGAATACAAGGACATCTTTGCATTTGAAGTCCATGAAATGCCAGGCATTAGTCCTGATCTGGCGGTACATAAACTCGCTGTGGATCCGAAAAAGAAGCCGGTACGGCAAAAGAAGCGGAACCATGGCGAAGAAAGAAGTCAGGCGGCAGCCGCCGAAGTTAAAAAATTACTTGATGCAGGGTTCATTCGGCAATGTTACTTCCCAGACTGGGTTGCAAATGTGGTGCTTGTTAAAAAGCCGAATGGCACCTGGCGAATGTGTGTAGACTACACAGACTTAAACAAGGCGTGCCCCAAAGACAGTTACCCTCTGCCTAAAATTGATAACCTGGTCGACTCAACAGCCGGCCATGCCTTGATGAGTTTTATGGACGCCTATTCTGGTTTCCATCAAATTCCTTTATGGAAGAAAGATCAGGAGAAGACGGCCTTCGTCACTGATCAGGGATTATACTATTACACGGTCATGCCGTTTGGTCTTAAGAATGCCCCGGCTACCTTCCAACGAATGATAAACACAGTGTTCTTTGATCAGATTGGGAGAAACGTCGAGGCATATATTGATGATATGATTGTCAAGACTAAACGTCAGAAAGATCATCTGGCGGACCTCCGAGAAACTTTCGCCACACTCAGGCGGCACCATGTCATGCTCAATCCCA